AGATGGCAGGAGGGAGGGGTTACTATATTTGGGCAAAAATGGCCGCTCCCAGACTCAGTGATCGCAACAAAAATTGTTTTTATTTTTTACTGATTAATGCTAAATTCATTAATTCCTTGCTGACGGACTTTTCCTTTAATTTTCTGAACACTCAGGATCTGTTGAAAATTAAGGCTTCATTTCATTTAATTCTTGTCATGAAGGTGGATTTCGATGAGATTTAAATACATTCCTATAAATAAATATAAACCTTTATTGGAGGAAAAATAATAATTTTACCAACATAGATCTGAAATAAATGTTAGTGCTGCCTTTGAGTGTAAATATAATCACCAAAGCCCACATTTGTTGACGACCTTCTCCTCTTTTCTATTAGATAGGATAGATAATTAAGAATCTGAGCTCAATGATCAGATGGTTTTAGTCTCACCAGGCGTGGATCAGCCTTCTGCAGGCGGCCCTTCCAGCTTCGGTCAGCAGAGCGCTCAGATCTCCCAGCAAATAGCCCTGAGAAGATTAGCAAAGGTGCTGGTGAAGATTCTCAGTCATCCAGAATTGAAACACAATCCACTCGACTTTGTTTCCAAGTTTGAAGATGTTTTGCTTCCCATCCAAGAAGCTTTTTAAATTCGTAGAGTCAGAAAAAGAGATTGAGATTTTGTTGGAGGCTAAGAAAGATCTCAAATAACCCCCATTCCTAAGTGGCGGACCCGTTTATCAGGTTCAATTTGCATGTTTTCTAAGCCAAAAAAAAGGTTTTGTTTTTGGTCCAATCTATAAAGCCTCAAACTCAACCCTATTTCTGACACTTTGAATTAAAAAAGCTTCCTGGATGGGAAGCAAAACGTCTTCAAACTTGGAAAAAAAAAGGTCCCGTGGATTGTTTTTTAACTTTTTTGGGAAGAGTAAAAGTGTGTGAGAGAAACTGAGGGGTTTAGATTGGAAACAGCAGCAGAAACCAGGGTGAAACACTTGTCACTAGTTCATGTCTGTTGGGGTCATTTCTGAAGACAAATGAATGCCGACCCCTTTCTGGAATGGCAATATCTAGGTTCTTTTTTTGAGTGTCTTTTCACAGAGATAATCACTGGGTTTTATTTCCCTACAGAGAACAGTTCATAGCTGTGTGCTCAGACTAGTTCAGAAGGAAAAGTAACTCAGGCAGATAAAAAACAAAAATTCCAGACTTTAAGGAAAGCTCATTGTTCAACGAAGCAAAGATAGATACATACTGCGGTTAGTTTGGAAAGCCTCTGCAGGTCCACGTCTCTCCCCAGTGGAAGTTCTCGACTCAGACTGACCAACATGGAGAGCCGCTGCTCCTCTGCAGGGCTCTCCATCTCCACCTGGTGGACGAACGCCCCCATGACACCAGAGGAGAGATGGCGAGCTCTGCACACCGTGGCCACGACGACCACACTGAGAGAAAACACAGGAGCGTTACATCAAGTCTGATCGTCCAGATGACTGTTAGCATCACTCCGTAAGAACGATAACGACATAAACTCAGGACAAGACACATCTTCACACCTTTGATTGTTTAAATCAGGAATCCCCAAACTCGAGGTTCAGGGTTTATACAGGAATGATTACCTCAGATTTAATGCTTTTTAATGCTATTTTAATGCTTAGAAATAATTTTAATGCCATCAACAAGTACCCATCTACAGGCTGCAGCCATGTCCTGAATTCCTCGTCTTCCAGCCACTTTTGTTGAAATTTGCATCTTTCCATTCTTTAGCTTTTTCTCCGCCTCGAGCTTCTTTTCTGAACGTACGGCTTTACGATCAACCGGAAGCACTTCCACCCAAAGAAGAAATTGCTTTTATATAATTTTTTTTTAAATAAAGCATTTTAAATGCCCGTTAATCAAATTTAATGAATTTTAATGCCAATTAAGGCCTTAATT